GGCCTTCCACTCTGGAAAAAGCCAGCCCTAGCGTGGCACATACGATGCCAGTGGGCACAGAGCTGTGCCCAGGATCCGCGCCACCCGTGGGCCGAAAGGCCAGGGCAGGAAGGAGGGACCTTCAGACACAGGGGACAGAGATGTCGTTAATCAGTCCCCAGAGGGTCAGTGTGGGAACCTGAAGACAATCCCCCGTGTCAACTCAGGCCCGACTTGCCACCAGTAGATGGATCCCCACCCCATCTTTTTTTTTTTTTTTCTTTTTAAATAGAAAAAACTAGCACAGGTGTTCACTCTGTGTCTAATTATGCTTTTTAACTGCTACATATCAAATACATACATGAAAGCAGCCTTGATTTCTTACTAACAAACACAATGACCACCAGGTATGTGGGATGTAGTTCTATTACAAAGGACTCCTAGATCTGTCCCATACAAGTTTTACTGACTACTAAAACAAGGTGAGATGACTGAGAGAACTGCGTTCCCCATCGCCCTTCGCAGATCTGCTCGCTCACCACCTTTCCCCCCAGTGACCGTCCCCTGTACATGCTGCTTTCTCAGGTGCCCCAGAGTACACTGAAACAGGCCGGGCTCGGCTGCAGGTGTGCTGCAATTATGTTTGCTGGTCTCGTCCGCTTTATAGCCTGGGAAGGAAAGATGGGCGAAACAGCAGGCTACAGAACTATTAAACATATTTACCACAGTATCTACTGGGTATTTTTAAAAATCAAGATCGAAAGCATGTCTTAAGTCTGTTTTTAAAAGAACCATCTCGACTCAGAGATTTTATACCTGTGTAGCATTAAGGCAACCACGAGGGCATGGTTCTCAGTTCAACAGACAGCAATGGGGACCGGCAGGCGAGCGCTGGCTTCGTGTTTCAGGTATGTGACCAAAATACATAAGATCAAGAGGCCGCCGTGAAAGCCACACGCTGAACAAATCTCGTGCTTCCTGGAGGATGAGCCGTCTGCTCCACCACGCAGAGCCCACTCGGACCTTTCAGCGGAAAAGAAGGAACTCTTCCTCCAGGCCAGTAGGCAGTGCTCGGCTGCGCAGCCCTGGGGCTTTCTCCTTTCTGAGATCCATCCATCCCTCTCTCAACTCTACCCATCACATGGGACAAAAAAATCCTGGCTAAGGGACACTCAGAAACAGTACTGCAGCAAGGGTGCTTAATGTTAGACTAGGGATTGAATCCAAACTGCACACAGAAAAAGAAAAGCCAAGTTCTTCAAAATCATAAAAACTGTGTGCACTCCGGTTGGACGTGAAAACGCTTCCCCAAATGCAGGATTTCCGAAGTGATGGCGGGGGGCCTCCGGTGTGGACACAAGGGAGCCTCGCTGCGCCGCCAAACGCCACTTCCACAGACACAGGCTGAGCCACCCCCCTGCGCAGCACCCCAGCATCCTCCTCAGGGCCCGCACTTCCTCGCAGGTGCCACAGCCAGGGACATTTGACCAAAACACGTTCATGATGAGCAGAACAATTACTCCGTGATTAGAAATGTCACTGTGTGCTCCTGCCCGTGGGCCCCAGAAGCTGGCGGCTTGGTAGTGGGATTCTGTCATCAATGAAACAGAAATAAAACCGAAGGATGAGGCTGCAACCTCTCAAATGAAGATTTATGGCTACTAAGCATGAAAGCACCCTAAGCCCTCAACTTATTACACAACTAAAGCAGAGGAAGGATTTTCTTCTTTGGAGAGTTTAAAAGGTCTGATTTACTGATGTTTAAAGAAAGCACAGGCCAACCAAGAGAATGCTGCTCTTTTTGTGTTCTCTCTTCTCTGAGCACCAAAAACCTGTACTGTAAAGGGCGCTTCTGCTTTGCACGAAAAATCCAATTACACAGATTCTGCTACACATGGAACTAAGTTAGTAAACTCGAGAGGCAGCAGGGAAATAGTATGACTCTGGGACAGGTTTTGCCTCTTAGATCTGATAGGGAAACATTTACAGCTCGCCTCGTTGCCCCACAAACTGTTTTCACCGGTCAAAAATCTGGACCAAAGCAAGAGAATCGCTTCACAACTCAGGATTTCATGAGACTGGGAGTGAACTAGTCCAGTTGTCCAGGTTCATTCTGATGCCCCCCACACTCCCACGCCTCTGGCCCAGCTCAGAGAAAAACTGCATTACCAGAATTTCGGAGCCACTTTCCTCAAAACTCAACACCACGGGTCTAGCCAGAGGTCTCCCCAAGACAAATGTGTGTGTGTGGGGTGCGCTTTTGGGGAGGGCAGATGCGTGAGACTCAAGGTTCTACTAATAAGGGGCAGTGTGTTCCCGAACTTTAAATTGCAATAGAAACCACACAAGCAAAAGCCTACTTACTGGGAAACAGCTAGGTTGTCTGATTAAAACATACCTTCATTACTGTTACTCTTCACCAGGGAGAACGACAATCTAAAATGTGCCGGATTCTCGCTTTCCTTCCAACCAACACAAACGACACTAACTAAAGTGGATAAGGACTCCTACTGTCACCTCCGCAGGAGCAAAATCTATTTTACAATTTAGGGGGGTAATGGAAGAAAATGTCTCCACAAAAACTATTTTAAGTCATTTTACACTTACAGGCTTAATAAAACACAGAAATAGCACGAAAGTTTTCAGGGGGAGGAAGGGAGATTTCTTTTACGTAAGAAGTCAGTAAGAAATCTTAACCTTTTTTTTTTTTTTCTTCCCACACGATTTTACGCCCTTCGGAGCAGGTACCGCGGGAAGGCCAGCCCTCCTCCCTTACTATCAGCCGCGTATTCTCAGCCGATCCATCTCCTCCGCCCTTAGCCGGGGGGAGGGGTGCTAGCCCCGGACACCTCGGGTAGAAAAATTTCGTCTGCAGCAGCTCATCTCAGCGTCCGGTCCGTTTCGGTCTGTTAATAATTAACCAGGCGATGCCACCCAATCTCCAGCGAGGAGGCGAACTCCAGGATCCAGGCGGAAGCCGGACGAGAGCGCGCGGCGGCCTCCCGCGGGCTGCAGCCAAACTCCGCCCGCGCATGTGGGGCGATCGGGGCGGCTGATCGCCTTCGCCCTGGCCGCCGGGATCGGGCCGGGATCGGGCCGGGCCGGGCCGGGATCGGGCCGGAACGAGCCGCCGGCGGCCGCGGACTGCGTCCTCCGGGCCGTCCGCAGCGACTTCCCGCGCCCTCCAAACTTTGCTTTCCCGTCGGAAACTTCCCGCCGGACCCGAACCCGGTCCCGGACCCGGACCCGGACCCCGACCCGCGCCTCCGGCTCACCCGGCAGCGACCGCGCCAGGGGTCC